CTTATGATCTATGAGGCACAGATCCGACTGTACTGGAATACTGTTCCCATATTTGGAGTGCAGCACCCAAACATACCCTAGAACTGTTAGATTCTGTCCAAAAAAGCGTAATTCGTCTCGTAGGTGATGCTTCGCTCACAAACTCACTCACTTTTCTGGAACACCGTAGAAAAGTTGGCGATCTGGCTCTATTTTATGGATATTTTCATAGGTGCAATATCAAAAATTTTTTCTCCCTTTGCAGTCCCCCCCTCACTTTGGAGACCTGCAGAACATCTCTCCAAAGACTACTTTTTCCAAACAATCTGACCTAACTCGGCCTAATATATTATATAGGTATAAAGGGTGTTCCGGTGATTATGTTACAAACTTCTAGCGTAGATAAAACACACGAAAATAAGAAAAAAAGTTCATGTGAACATGGGTCCGGAAACGCTTCTTCAGGGAGCTAAGGCCCGTCGAAGATGACCTTCAAAAACTACTTTTCGTTTTATAGCTTCGGTACTACTGCAGCTATCGCAACCAATTTTGTGACATGGAATCTAGTTCGTAGGTTCATCAATTTGAGCCTTCCGGATTTTGTCACCTTTAACCAGGGGCGTACAAACCAGGGGGGTATTTGGGTAAATTTTACCCTACTCCTCTTAGGTTTTAATTTCTCACCATTTTTATATCTGATTATGATTCTCCAATGCCTTCTACATAAAAGAGGTACTCTTGTAAAAATCGCTATCTGTCACCGTTTCCTCCGAAAATGGCTAAATCCAATCAATAATAAATTATTGGTCTTAAGCCAATTATTACGTTGAAATATAAAAATGAGGTTCAGTACAAATAGTGAGCATTATTAGTTAGTCAAATCTTCTTTAATGAAAATAAATTGATGAACCCATGAACTAGATTTCATGTCCCAAAATTGGTTGCGATAGCTGCAGTAGTACCGAAGCTATAAAACAAAAAGTAGTTTTTGAAGGTCATCTTCGAAGGGCCCTAGCTCCCTGAAGAAGCGTTTCCGGACCCATGTTCACATGAACTTTTTTTCTTATTTTCGTGTGTTTTATCTACCCTAGAAGTTTGTAACATGATCACCGGAACACCCTGTATAACTAGGTTATAATATTAGGAAGGAAAATATCCTTTCTGCATAAGAAGGAGACTACTTTTTCTAAACAATCTGACCTAACTCGGTAAGTAGGTTATAATATGAGGAAGGCAAATATCCCTTCTGCATAAGAAGGAGACTGGGTACTTACTTTTTCTAAACAATCTGACCTAAACATTGACATGGTTGGGACTGAATTTACTCACCGATAAAAGGGTATAAAATTTTCAATTTAATCTGCTTCCTGCTGGGACCGAATTTACCATCACCCCTTTCATCCTTGTCTGTAAAACATGGATATACTTCTTGAATTACACTAACAAGATTCAACATTTTACATAGAGGTGGATCATCTTAACTCTGTTGCTCTTTTATCTTACTGAAATTTGTTAATCAATTCAATTTGAAGTTACAACTGTTGTCTCTTCCATTTCAATTTCTTCTTATATATAAAATCATGTTTGGTTTTGACTGAAGATGGCCATTTGTATGGCCGAAAAATGTATTAACTTTCAACCTTCTTGAAGCAGGATTGACTGCCTTATACATTAAAAATTGTGGAGACGACTTTGAGTTTTTCTCTCTTGATCTTATTACTTATACCAAGACCATACAGGGTGTCTCTCCGAGAACTGCATCGATCAATATATAGAAAACCATAGGGGGGCCGAATTTGAAAATCTGGGAGTTCACTATTGTTGATGAGTGCTATCCGGCTAAGATATTTTGAAGATTGTGGAACTTCCGGTTGTACCGGAAGTGGACCACTACTTCGTTATTTCAAATGGGACACCCTGTATATCAAGGTTTTCGATTTTACTCATGATTCTGAACATGTTTTATGTATAATGTCCTATACCCAAGTCTAACCGTTTTCGAAATATTTCAAATTTTAAGTTGAAAATTGCGTTTGCAGACCGAAAAATACTTTTTTTTTTATTTCTGAACATGATCATTTATTTTCGATTGTGTATCGATTCATTCGTAGGAGAGGACCCAGTTCAAAAGAATGTCGATATCAATTCGACTACAGCTATACAGGGCGTTCACCAGAAAATTATATAGATCCGGTTGAAAAAATTATTGTCAGTAAATTTTTTCAAATGGACACCCCTTAATTTTATATCTTAATTCGATTCGGCATCGAAAATGAAGCTCACTTCGAGTAAGGTTATAATATACAGGGTGTTTCATTTAAAATAACGAAGTTGGGGTCTACTTCCGGTACAACCGGAAGTGCCACAATCTTCAAAATATTTAAGCCGGATAGCGCTTATCAACAATAGTGAACCCCCAAATTTTCAAATTCGGACCACCTATGGTTTTCTATATATTGATCGATACAGTTCCCGGAGGCACACCCTGTATAAATCCACTATTGAATGCTTTCAGCTGGAGAATTTGATATCGAAAAACTACTTCTTGAACATGTCGGCCAAAGAGGCGTTCAAGGCGTACGTGAGAGCGTACGATTCGCACCATCTGAAGACCATCTTCGACGTGGCCACCCTCGATCTGGCCAAGGTGGGGGCTTCTTTTGGCTTCAGGGTGCCACCTGCTGTCGATTTGAAGGTACTAGTAGTAGCGATTCATTTCTTTCTGCCTTTTGCTATACATTCCATCAATACATACAGGGTGTTGAATAATTGAGTGCCGATAATACAAGGTCTGAATCCTAAACCTCTTAGTTTTTTGACGACATCATTATGGTACGTAATGGTACGTCGATTACTAATTTTTGGACCTTTCTATTGATACTTGACGAGTAAGTGATGATGAATCATGAATAATGAATGAATGTTTATTTCATACTGCATCATAGAACATACCTTTACGTACCTGATTTCAATCCGGAAAATAGACTTTTACAGGATAGGCGCACGTAATATTTCATTACGTGCTACTATCCCGTAATGAAATTTTACCGGATTGTAAATATTGAAAACTCAGTTATGCGTCAAAAGCATGAATACATTCATTAAAAATTCAACAGCAAAACAATACACAGAAATTACTTATTGCTAATATTAATATTAACCGTTAAATTTTCGTTTCCATGAATATGGATACCAGGAGCTCCATTGGATGAATTATTTATTAGGGAGTTGCTACTTGCTGATACATTCCCATTTTTTTGTTGTAGCACTTCAACAAAGTTTTCTCCATGTTGAATCTTTAATATTTTATTTTTCACTGTTCATTTTTGTTTTTTAGCAGTATGAAATAAAATGTTATACGTCACACGTCCGGTAAACTTTTACAGTACTCGTTTCGAAATTCCGGACTCGGCTTAGTGTACTTACCGGACTAGTAACGTAAATATCTATTACATCAATGACTTGTACGTGGTATAACACAATATCATAAGTATACATTATACAAATACAAAATTCACACAGTTATTGCAATATACCTATAATCTATTTCCCCGTTCGTCCTCTGGCATTGTCTTTCCTTGTATACGGAAATGTCCGCACGCAATCTATACATAGGAGTGGGTGATAATTTTTGTCGGTTACTCGACCAATAAGACATATAAAATTTAAACGAACGGGGAAATATGGAGACTGTACAGTACCATCCTGCCGGCGATGCTTCGTATAGTGCATGATTTCGAGTGATTTCAATAATTGGAAGGATTCTGCCGCTTGGTGTGTGATGAGAATTCGACCTCCCTGCCGATTGATCGACGGACGACCCGTTGGCTCAATTGGCAGAGCGTTGGGCATGTAACCCAGAGGTACTCTCACACGGGGCTGTGCAGTTTTTTTCATTTTCCATTGTCACTCGAAATTAGGGCTTTCCATCATCTTCATCATACAGGGTGGGCCACCAGTAACGCCTCGGTCTCTAGAAGGCTAACCACTTATCTTCTTGGAATTCTTCCTCTCTAGGAAGTTGCATGTCAACATAGGCTACCTACCATTTGAAATTATTTTGAAACATACAGGATGTCCCCAAAAATCACAAAACACTGAAGTTGAACTTTTTTCAATCGAACACCCTATATATTATTTCATTTTGAGATTCTCCCTGGTGAGCTGATTTCAACGACCCATCATACTTGGGGGTCTAGCAGTTATACTTACTGAGATATCGGGTGTGAGAAATCGAGATTTTCCAAGTTCAAGAATTTTTTGTGTCTAAACCATTCATAATTGGTCAAAACGGCTCACATGTCCCTATCTCAACTTTTGATCAACTATCTGACATTTAATTGAAACAAATACAGGGTGGTGCAGAATTCAGAATCTTGATCACCCGGTATATGTCCCAATTAAATATCAGTAGATAGTGAGTCAAAAGTTGAGATAGGGACATGTAAGCCGTTTTGACCAATTATGAATAGTTTCGACACACACAATTCTTGAACTTAGAAAATCTCGATTTTTCACACCCTATATTATAACTGCTAGACCCCGTTGAAATCAGCTCATCAGGGAGAATCTCAAAATGAAATAATATATAGGGTGTTCGATAGAAAAAAGTTCAACTTCAGTGGTTTTTGGGGACACCCTGTATGTTTCGAAATAATTTTAAATGGTAGCCTATGTTGACATGCAACTTCCTAGAGAGGAAGAATTCCAAGAAGATAAGTGGTTAGCCTTCTAGAGACCGAGGCGTTACTGGTGGCCCACCCTGTATATGTATCTTTTCGGTCGAGTAACCGACAAAATTATCACCCACTCCTATGTATAAATTTGAATTTGTCAGCTTTCCATCAAATGCAAATGAACTTGAAACATGGAAAGTGAAGTGACCGAATGAGGAAAATTGGTAAATACATCAGCAAAATATTCGAGATAAAACTAATACGAATACCATATACATTCTTATTGTGCCTATAATTATCCACTCCACAGGTTTTTGAATGCATTTTAGTAGAAACAGTTTTGATTGAAACGGAGGATTAAAAGAAGAGGCATATGCCAATTTAAAAAATTATACCTACATTCAGGAAATATTAAGGTTCGTGAAAAACTGCAAAAATGATTCCCAATATGAATATATACAGCACACATGACATATGAGCCAATTAGTTCAAATACCTACATACAATTTTTCACCATTTCTCAACCTATGTACATTTATTTATTTTTTATCCTTACTACAAGGTTAACTCCGTAAGGTTTTTCCCAGTTTATTCAAATTACCTATATGTTTATTCCAATGTATATTTTGTAAACGCTTTTGAATAAACTTATATTATTATTATTACTATTATTTATTGATAGGTACTGTCCAAGAACAGTCCCATTTGGTATAATGTATTAAACTTTCAGAAAAATTTGCTCACTGTCTCACAAAGATTATGCTGGAGTTGAAAAATCAAAAACTCGAAAATTATCATCATCATTTGGATATAATATGTAGAGTTGAATGAGAAATTACATGTGAAAATTACGTATGATACGCCAATGTCCTCAATATAACCTAGAAAACAACAAATGTCAGAAATCTAGTGTTTATCCCCAGAAATTAATAAAGATGGAAATACCCAGCCAACCATGAGACTTATAAATGATGTATACGCCACATCACTTTGTGACATGCGATATCGCATTTGAAGTCACAAACATGTTACCGATACAACGTGGCGATGTGAAAATGTCCGACTCAAGCAACATCACTGTGACGTCGTTCAGACATGAAATGCGACATCACATGAAAAATCACTACCAGGTCACATACAAGTGTACATTTCATATTACAAATACATCACACTGCGACATCGATGATGTGGTCGCCGTACCTGTGATATTCGTGGGATATATAATAATAATTATTATTCAACTTTATGCAGAAAATGTTTATTTTCCGAAAGTAAAAACAGATGATACAAAACTTATAGCAATACAAATACACTTACATTATCTCGGGATCTTTCATCCACCTTGTTTTAGATTGGAATATTCCTATCTCAGAAATAATTACAATATTACCTATTGTGATTGAATTCACCGTCGTTCCTAAATGATTGTATACCTCCAATTTGAAGCTGCTATAATATGTGCTATAAATCATCTGATATTTCAACAGAGAATTTGGAAGGAAATAGTCTGTACGGAGTCGGACTCACTCACTGACTGACTGACTGACTGACTGACATGGCCATGCACAGCTCAACATGGCGTCTGGCGTGTGCGTTCGTTTTGCGCATGTCTGCATCACACTCACAGGTCACAAAGATATCTCATGAGGATATCAATGTGAATTATTTAGTTAACGTCGAAGAGATGTAGTTTGAAGAAGTCGCTGCCACATTACATAGTTTCCTGGTTGCGATGTCACCTTGCGACGTTGATATCGAATCTACGTCGATAAAATGTGTTAACGAGATATTGCATTTATGCAAGGTTGTTACATCACACAGATGTTGATGTCACACGATGGTTGGCTGGGTATATAACTGTTTCACAAACACTTTAGAGTGAGAGGAGACGAGGATCTGTCCGTACCCTGCTAAGATGACAAATACGTCAATTTACATCAAGGGACCCTAGTTGTCACTAACAATAACTTCATTCCCGAATTTTATTTTCGTTTGTTGAAGGTGACCGCCAAAAAGCACGAAAGGCCGGAGAAGCAACGCAAGGGAGGCGGCGGATTCGGGTACTACAAGAACATGAACGCGACGGATGCCAAGAAGAATGCCGTTTATAGGCAACCGAGGGCTAGAGGGGGTGGACGAGGGGGTGGGCGAGGGGGTGGGAGACAGTTCAGCAGGTAGTTGAGAATTTATATATTTTTGAGTATTTGTTATATCGTCTATATGAATAAAATGCTGATTCGAATGATTTGTTTTCATTCCGGAATATTATCTAACATCCTGGAATATTCTTGAACATTATGAAATATTCTCTGGAACATTTAAAATAGTCTAGAACTTTCGTGAACATTATTGAACAATCTGGAATATTCTGGTATTGTTACTGATATGGTGAAAGATGTGCAGCGACCTCATTAGATCTTTCATGCCCCATCTTTTCCTATATCTGTCAAGATTTTGTTATTTATAATGATTGATTTTTTGTATGGCAAATTCGTGTTTGTTCTGACACTTTTCAGTTCTCAGGACAAATACGAATTTGCCATACAAAAAATCCATTTTTTATGTTGAAAACGGGAGCAGATTCGTTCCCGAAACGTCCAAAGATAAGTAAAAATTTGATAATTTTTTATACACCAACAAAGCTTATGGCTCCGACGGAATCCCACCGATTGTTCTCAAGAAATGTGCTCCCGAACTATAACACCTGTTCTCTGCAAGTTGTTTAACTACTCTTACAAATTGGGGATATTCCCGTCCAGCTGGAAAATTGCAAAAGTACCACCAGTTCCTAAAAATGGCAAAAAGACTACAGACCGATCGTACTGCTATCTATTATTTCAAAGATCATGGAGAAAGCTATCAACATCGAGCTCATGAAATACCTGGAACATTCAGGTATTATCAACGATAGGCAATATGGCTTTCGTCATCAGAGATCAACTGGTGACCTGCTCGCTTACGTCTCACATATATGGCAGCAATCTATTGAAAAATATGGTGAAACCTCAGCCGTGGCACT